AGAGATGGCTCAGCAGTTAAGAACACTGGTTGTTCTTGCAGAAGACCTGGGTTCGAATCCCAGCACCCACATGGCAGCAACTAACAACCGTCCATAACTCCAGTTCCAGGGGATCCAACAGCCTCTTCTATCCTCCACAGGCATTGCATGACACGGGTGTACTTACCTACATGCAGGCAATACACACATACACATAAAATAAAAATAAAACATTAAAAAAAAAAATCCCTGAACTACTACTAACTCACATGAAAATGGAGACAGTATCTACCTCATAGTTAGCATAAGCATTAAATAAAGCATTATACATAAAACAGCAGGCCCCTGGCATATAGCATATCTTTGGAAACTGCATTTTCTAGGCCTTTCTTTGCCACTGTTGACTAGAATATTGTCTTTTTTTTTTTTGGTCTTTTTGAGACAGGGTCTCCCTGTAGCCCCAGCTGTCCTGGAACTCACTATGTAGACCAGGCTGGCCTTGAACTCACAGAGATCCACATGCCTCTGCCTCCCAAGTGCTGAGATTAAAGGTGTGTGCTACCACGCCTGGCCTCTTTTTTGTCTTTTTGAGACAGGGTCTCCCTGTAGCTCCAGCTGGCCTGGAACTCACTATGCAGAGCAGGCTGGCCTTGAACTCACAGAGGTCCCCCTGCTACTACCTCCTCAGTACTGGGATTAAAGGAATGCTCTACTAGGCCCTGCCTGACTAGGACATTCTTGCCTTAGCAAATGCCCAGCTCCTTCAACTCCACAGGTTATAGTATTTCCCATCTTCAGAGTAGTATCTAGCTTAAGCTAAAAAAGGCCTGGAATCCCCACTACTGGAGAGACAGAAGTAGGGAGATCTCTGTGAGTTCCAGACCAGCCTGGCCCACATAGAAAGTTCCAGGCTAGCCACATCTACATAGCAAGACCCTGTCTCAAAAACAAAAAACGTCCAGGGCCACAGTTAAGAGCACTTGCTGCTCTTTCGAAGGACACAAGTTCGATTCCCAGCCTCACAACACCCTGGTAACTCCAGTTCTAGGGGATCTGACAACCTCTTCTGGTTTCTGTGGGCATGCACACATGTGAGACATCCATTTGCACCCATACACATAAATATAATAATATTAAAAGTTCAAAGACTTAAACTGTATAGCCTTAACGGCTTAAAATGTATAGCCTGCCTGGGCTATACAGTTCAAGACCAGCCTAGAACTTACTGAGATCTTGTCTCAAAATGAAGAATTTTAAAAAGGGTTAAAAATACAGTTCAGTGACAGAGTTCTCTGGGTTTAATCCTTGGTATCACAAGAAAACAACAGCTAAAACCCAGGTATCTTAGCAGGGAAGTTGATACTAGGGAGCATCTGTAAGGTTGTGCTGCAGAATGCAGACACACTTAAGAACCTACTGGCCAAGAGGCAGAGGCAGGCAGATCTCTGTGAGTTTAAGGCCAGCCTGGTCTACAATAATGAGTTCCAGGCTAGCTGGGGCTACAGGGAGACTTTGTCTCAAAAAGACACCCCCCACCCCCGCCCGCAAAAGAACCTACTGGCTGCCACTGCCCTCAAAGCAGGCTCAGAATTAATTTCCAAACAACACTGACTTCTACTCTGTAAGTTAATACAAACCAAATACTTAACAGTGTTATGTAATTCTTATAGCCCCCAATGTTGCAGGCCTCTGAGCAGAACTCAACCGGTCTTACCTGTTCAAAGCCGGGCTCATTGTGGTAGGGGTTCTCAGTCATTAGGGACTGGATAGAGATAAGCACAGAAGAGATGCTCTGGGCTGGGCTCCAGGCAGGGCCAGTCCATGTACTGCAAACACAGCAGAGGGATGGGAAGAAGGTGAAACAGAGAAAGCCAAGGAATCCTGACAGCAACACACTACCATTAGTGACTCACCATAAATTTCTCTTTCACTATTAATACTCTGGAAATTCCCAGCCTTTGTCTCACCCTCATTCACCCAGAAACAGTCAACTGCCTAAATCCTCCCATCAACTGGGACAGAAAAAAGAGAAGGAAGCAAGCAAGGTAACTTTGAAAGGATTTTCTTAAAGCTAGAAAAGAAACAGTAGCCCAGGAAGGTTACCTTATCAAAACAAGACATTAAGTTAAGAAAATAACTCTGAAGGTTGTCTAAATGTTAACCTCTGTGACCTCAAAGAGCTTGTCTATGTATTTATGTATTTATGTATTTATTTAGTGATGACAGTGAAGGAAGAGCAGCTGAGCAGAGGCACACAGGTGACTGAAGCTGTCTTGAAAGACATGGTGAGGTTCACCGTCAGGGACTTGCTAAGAGAAAATAGAGACATTTCCAGACATTTCCATTGCGGTGGGTCTGAAAATATCAGATGGAAAACAACACAAACATGAAGAAAAACACCCTATACACATCTTTTTCTTTTTGAGACAGGTCTTGGTACATACCCCTGGCTGGCCTCAAACTTGCAGCAATTCTATCTCTGCCTCTCAGGTGCTGGGATTAAAGACTTGTGCCACCACACCTAGCAGGCATTCTTTTTAAAAGCTAAATTAATTAACAAGATAGTATCAAGCTGGAGGCTGAACACAACCTGAATCAGAACTAGCTTGTTCAAGTTAACTGATCACTGCCCTTTCCCTGCTACACTTGAATACGATCCAAGTGAGGGATGTGAACAATAACGTCACCAGAGGTTGTTCCTAAACTGCCTCTCAACTCTATTCCCTTAAAACTCAACCTCCTACTCTCTATGTATTTGTGAATTCAGGTCAACAGGGTTAATTCTCATTCCATTTCTCTTAGCAAGTTAGTCAACCCAGTATTTTTTTCTAGGTGTGAATGGTGGGAATTAGATCAACAAAGCTAATACAGCCACACAGAATGGAATTTCTCTACTCCCTGATTCTTACCTACAAAATTTCAACTTCAGGGTGGTTTCTCCTTTTCCATGCAACAAACTTCTGCCACTTTCATCACCTTTCTTTGCCTGCTATGTGTATGAGCTGGTGACTGCCTCAAATAGCTTTAGATTAGCTCAGTGAGGGGGAACCAATACGAATACACTTTGTGTGAGTGTGTGTGGTGTGTGTGTGTTTTTGAGACAAGGTCTCCCTGTAGCCCCAGCTGGCCTGGGACTCACTATGTAGACCAGGCTGGCCTTGAACTCACAGAGATCCACCTGCCTCTGCCTCCCAAGTGCTGTGACTAAAGGCGTAAACATACTTTTCAAGAAGAAAGTTCATACAGAACCAAAGACTCACCAGTTACCACCATGGGACACACATCCACACCATAATCCCACCAGTAGAGACAAGCATGCACCCTAATAAGATGAAGAGCTTCTTTAAGGATAACCTCCTTTAATGGGAGGTTTAATGCCATAATCCCAACAGAACATACCATATACCTGGATACGCTAGAAAAATCCCTGGATCTGAGAATTCTAGAAAACTGAATCATGTCCAGTATGCTTTAGTTGCCTCTCCTACCACACTTACACACCGAGAAATGTGTTGGACAGGAAGAAAGACAACAAGAGCAACAGTTGGGGCAACTTTCTCAACCTTCAACCTGTACTTTTGTCTACCCCAAGGAAATTTGGACCACAAAAATAACTATGAAATAGCTAAAGATATTTTTGTTTTGGATTTTTTTTTGTCTTTTTGAAGCAGGGTCTCCCTGTAGCTCCAGCTGTCCTGGAACTCACTATGTAGACCAGGCTGGCCTTGAGCTCACAGAGATCCGCCTGCCTCTGCCTCCCAAGTGCTGTCGTTTTGGATTTTTAACCCACAAAGACAACTAAATGGAATAAATAAGAATTCCGCAAAGCAGCATCTCAGTAGCACCCAGGAAGTATGCCTGAAATTTCTGTTCCATAGCTGATGTGATTTCCAATCTCAGACATTTTCACTCAATTGTTAAATTACCATCAATACCACCACCACCATCACCTCCAGAGGCACACATTAAGAGACTCAAGATACCCAGTCTTGAATGCAACAGATCTGCAGCCTTTCTCAACCTATTTGGGAGAAAGGAAGGCCCTAATGTCCTAAGGGAGTGGTTCTCAAATGAGTATATGGCATAACCACTTGTATGGCCTGTAAGAAGCAGACTGACTGCAGGCCCCACCCCAGAGTTTCTGATACAAGCCCTAGGATGGGGCCCCCAAATCTACAGATGCTACTGTGGCAGTTCAAGGACCACACTTTATGAACCATTTCATTAAGACATCTCTTGTATGCATAATCTGCCTTCACGCCTTTCCATCTAGAATTGATACTAGTCCATAATCATCCTGAGAACTGAGAAAAGAGCCACTCAATCATTTCTATGTTGTGGGTTCAGATGAGGAACCCTAGTTGAAGAAGGCTAGCCTAGAGTGATTATTTGCTAATAACCAATTTGGTCGCTTAGAAGTCTCCTCTTACCCTAGAATACTCAAGCAGACTTTCCCATTTCGGTAGAAGTTGGGGTTAAACCTCACTGTGTTATTGCCCGTTGTCATCAGTTTGACCCGAGGTGGGTGGATGGGATAGTCAGGCGGACACCGAAAGACGAACAGGAAGAAACCCCCTTCGTAAGGAGTGTCAAATGGGCCTGTGATCAATGCATGAATCTGCAAAATAAAACCCTATCTCAAAATTGTGAGGTGATGTCCCACCCCAACCCCTCCTGGCTTCCACCAGCTACCCCTGCCAGAAGCAGGGCCCATATTCTGGCGTTCATGTTCCAGGTCCTTACCATTGACAATGAACAGCCTAGACTCACTCATGAAATAGGTTTGGAATTTAAATTTCCTTACAGCAGAGGAGCATCATAATGGGGGGGGGGGGGTAATTCTTAAGTTAAAGCCCAATGTAAAAACTAAACCTAGTAAAATTACTCTTAGGAATCCTTAAAGCATTTTTTTTTGTTCGCTTGTTTTGTTCAGACTGCCTTGATTAGTGTTGTGTACAACAAATAGAACATAAATGTGTAAAATATGCATTGGAAAATATCAGCATTTATGTTCAAGAAATCAATACATATTTTTACTGAGATGTTTGGCTTTGCCTATGATGCAATCTACATTTATATGACATGAAGGGGAGGTAAGATGAATGGAAGAGGAAAGAGATTGGAGGCCACACCAGAGCCAGTAATAGAGCAGAGCTGAAAGCTACAATGGGCACATAGGGGTCTGCTTGCTTCCTCCACAGAGGATCATGCCTACTGTAGAAGATGTGGCTTGGGTAGCATCCAACTGTGCTGGATACCAAGAAAAATGGAGAAAACTCAAGGTCCACTCAAGGCCATTAGACCATCCCCAGAAATTTTCCTAATACAGGGGAAATAAAAAACAAACCACCACCAACAAAACCCCCCAGCATTCCTTAAAACAGAACATTAAATTCTCTTTCTCTACAAGCCATAATTATTGAACATGATTCCTTTCCTGAAGCAAAGTTAACCTGAGCTGACTCAATTCTCTGTCTTCTTCAAAGGCTCCTAACCATGTAAGTCAGCTCAGAATTTAAAACAGCAAGGGGGGAAAGGACCCCATCCAGTGCCTTGATCTATCACCCCTACCTTGCCCTGGCAACACAAGAGATTATATTCCAGCTCTCAAACACACAACTAGTCTCAACATGGCATCAATTTAGGGCCCCAGAGACTAGCATATTAATCCTAGCACTTGACTGGGAACAGGATGTCCCGGGAAAAACATTTCCAACCACATAAAAAGAAAAAAGAAAAAAAAAAAAATCAATTTAAAGGAAAATCTATTCGAAACAAAAAAGATTTAACAACACAAAACATGAATATTTTAAGAAATCTGAACCCATCAGTTTTTGCTTAAAATAAAACTAGATTTAGGAAATCTGATTTCTTCCCAACATCGGTTTATGAGCAAATCCATTCCTGAGGGTAGAATAGTCAATGACAGAGAAGCCTAGGTATATGCCAGAAGAGTAAACATTACATAGTAAGCTTTCTCTCTGTGTAGAGGATGAGGGAGGACAGGTCTTTGGGATGGAAGGTACACAAAAGCAGTCAGTAAAGATGGGAGCCTTTAACCATAAACACTTCAGCCAAGATGGCCCTATCCCCAACTTCCCTGCACCTCACTTACAGTGCCATAGTGAAAGTCAAGAATGGTATATTGGGACGAGGAACAGAGCATTCGGAGAGGGAAAGAGTGGCCTATTAATAGCTAAGCTGAGTCAAAAGGCATCGACTGCAATTTTCCAAATCAATTAGTACCTGTGTGCACCCTAACCACAGACACTGGTTTAAGGTTCTGCTCTACCTTAGGCAAGCCACTTACTTTCTTTGGGTTTTGATTTCTTTATCTACATAATCAGAAATGAGCTGAAAAATGTCTTTTAGGTCCTTTCAACTTTATGAGCCCAATCTTCTAGTAACTCCCCTACCCCACCCCCATTTAGTCACATACCTTAGTCATGTCAACAGTATCAGGAACAACGAACATTCCTGGAGGAGGCTCCTTATAAATGGACATGATGTCCCTGTATAACACCAAGAGGAGGTAGGAGGAGTGAGGGAGGAAGGAAAAGGGGACTCCCTTTAACAGGACAGTTATCACCTCAATGAGCCCGGGGTTCGAGAAAGTGGTGCTTGGTACCACAAATGTTTGCACCGTCTCGCTGGCTGAGAAATCTCAGCTGAGTACATGTCAGACAGGCAGAGAGCAAATTATTATCAAAGGGGCATTGTTTCCTCAAGGGGAGGATATCTAGAGGGGAAAAATAACCCAAGATCTCAATGGTATCAAATATCACCCTGAAAAAGCCACATCCCATTTACTCTCACTTCTCCCCACATGGAAACTCTTTACTTTCCACCTCCCAGATTCCCTGGTACATTGGGCAAAAAGATTTTTTTTTTTTTAAAGGGCATAATTAACTCCAATACAAAAGTAGTTCCATAAACCATACAGTGGACCTTTGTTGGCAAGGAGACTGCATAAAGTGAGGAAGGCAGCAGGAGCATGTCTATCACCGTCTTCCTGTCCAGGAGACTAAATTGATAATGGTCTCTTCATGCTGGGGAGCAGGGAGGCCTCTGAAATTGCCAAAATCTCACATCTGGAAGGTGACATTTAGTGACTAGGGTAGATGAGAAGATTTCCAGGTCATCAACTGACCAGAATGGGTCAGTTAAGAACTAGCTACTATTACGGAGTATGGGACTTGCTAAGGTAGGGTGATAAGAGCACAGAAAATATGGGTCAAACTTAAAGGTGTATCAAGACTGGAAGAATTAAGAGCTGCAGTGAAAAAGGTGCACGCTGAGTTTAAGTTAGAAGTGGCAATCTCCGTGAGCACTGTGCCAAGTACTTTATACATATATTGTTATTAAGAACTTGAAAAGTGGGTGGACAGGCATCTGAAGGAACTTAGAATGTGTGGAATAATACCTAGATAAGGAGTATAGGGAGAATTAAGTCTGGTCACCAGGAAACAGGTTTCAGGATTAATAGCTCAACAGTGTGTTACCCTTTCCTATGCAGTAGGCACTGTAGTAAGCACTTCTGCAAATCATATATATATATATTAAGTGATATGCTCTAAGATCAATCACCCAAGAAACAGCACAGAAAGGACTTAAGCCTTTGTTCCTCTATTTAAACTGAGTATATTTGCTTCACAAAAGTAAACCAGACAATCCAGGAGGGGGAAAAAAAAAATCCAAGATCCTAAATGGGATATTACAATCCAGAGTGATACTTCAAGGGGGTGGGGTGGGGAGAGCCGAGTCTTTAAACAGATGTGAGACTGGACAGTTTTGGAGACCAGAAAAGGGGTTCAAGGAAGGTCTGGTAAGTTAGGGAAGCTATCTAGACTGAGGGAAAAGGACTATGTGGTGGGGGGTTGAGGAATCAGAAGGTAAAAAGGCTATCTGGCTCGAGTCTGAGACTGGGCAAAGCAAGCGGGAGTGTGTGACCAGCCGGGCTGGATTAGAGATGAGGGGGGAACCGAAGGGTGGGGCCTGGCGGCAGCCTCTAGGTAAGCTGGGTGGGGAAGGGGAAGAGGGGCGGCGCGG